CTAGTGGTTTAAAAAGAGGGGATCCTTTTCCAACTAATACAGCATGTAGCATTGTTTATGTTTATTCCTTTTAGCTGCTGGATGTGGTATTGAATTATTTTATTTTATTTTGGTAATGGGTGAAGCTTAGGAAAAGACGTGTACAAAAAGCTGCTTGGTTTTGCTTTTTGTAGAACTCTGAGGTTTGTATAGTATGTTTGGTACTACAAATATATGAAGAATAATATGTTAGCCAGTGTGTATATGTAAGTTACTTCTGATTTAACTATGCAGAGAATGTTGACTGCATTGATTCTGGATTTCATTTTTTTATTCCAAATGTTTACTTTGTTATGTGCATCTTAACGCTTTAACACTACCCACTTTTGAACAGCAGAGTGATTGTAATAAGCCGTATATCTGAACTTTGAAAAATTATTTCATTGTAATACCTACTGGTGATAGTAAATTCAAATTTTAATCTACCAAGGAAAGACTTTAATAAACCATCAGGAAGTCTGGTAATTCTGAAACAGTACTACCTCCTTTCATCCAAAGCTATCTTGACCTTAATTTGCCCTCTATGTATTGCTTGAAAACATTTTTGCTAATAGCACACCAGTCTATTATACCCCTTTATTTTTGTGTCACCAATCATACCATGCCACCTGTACTAGCACAGGTAGCTCCCTCTATTATTCTAGAACAACCTTCACTTTCTCGATTGGCATTGTAGTGTATAGATGTATGTTTTAACTCATGTGACTACAAAATTTTGATTGTGCTTGATCATAAATTTATATTAATCTCAACTTCAAGTTTCGACTTCTTGTGTTTTATTTCCATTGTTTCTACTCATTTGCTTTAGAAATATTTTGTTTTCTGAACTCTAATTTGTTCATATGAAATTGAGATTTAATATGGTGTATGTTGAAATTCCCGCGACAGTTCTGACATGAGTCCCCAGATCTCAAAGTTGATGATGTCTGCTGGAAAAACACAGGCTTTAGTTCATTTGGAGTTCAAGTTTTGCATTTGGCCAACAATTTTTTTCTTTCACATTATGATTTTTTGTGAGGAATGATATAACTACTTAGTGGATATTTCTTTCTATGGCACTTTTCACCTGCTATCATACCTCCATGTAATCTGCTGGGTTAGGTATTGTTCTTTTTTGTCAGGAGATATGTAGTAAGTTTTTGAGGATGTATTCCTCACTCCCAGTAGATATATATACCCATGTTTATCGAGTTTATGTGAGCTCGTGTGGATGGACCTAATTTCTGCACTCAATAATTTAGATCTTTCATCTGCTCAGTATTTGGCAAGTTAGATTTTTATAATTCTTTTACCATCTACGTTACTTTAGTTTAAATTGTCATTTGGTATTTGATTAGTACTTTATTTTTGCTTAATGTTTGGTATACGTATGGGTTTTACATGTTACTGTTTGGGTACTTGTAACTTCGGCCAATTTTTTGGGTGTGTTGCTTTGTTATTTTTTACTTCTTTTCACTTTGTAAGTTCCTCTTTATTTAATACTAGTCACATCTAATTGGGGATTAGATTTGTCAAATTTTGGGTTAACTGGGTTTACGTTCCCTTCATTAGATGCTTCTTGATCAGCAGAACTTCTCCTACAATCCCTTGAACCATCCCTTTCACCTGGTATGAGGGCTGACCTTGCTTGGTGACTTGACAGGGACTTGACTATGGTGGGAGTTCCCATTCCTCTGCTTCATCCCAAGTCTCATCTGTTCATCGGGCTCTGTATCATTTCCTCCTGCTCCTGTGGGGATGGGTGGTTATGGTTCATTCTGGCAATTCCACTAATGTCAGCTATATCACCAGGCAAAGGGAACGAAGTCCAAATCTCTGTGTTTTCAGACTCTGAATCTCCTGTACTAGGCCACAACCACGACATGAAGGTTCTGGTGTATTTATATTTATATAACATCAAACACAAACAGATATTGCAATAATATATGATGTCACATCCAGCAATTGGTACTTTTCTATAAAAAAATTGATTGTGCATTGTATTTACAAATGAATGTAAAGATAGTTTGATTTAGCTGTAAAGGGAGGTATATGGAGGCCAACTCTAATTTTTATTCCATGTCAGTGAAAGATGGGCTTAAGTGTGATTGTTAATATTTATTCATCGTAAACTGTGTTTTTTTTTGTCAGTTTGATTCAAATTTACTGGTGAGGAAAAATTGACTTTTGGTTAAGAAAAAGTCAGGGAATTTTGTATTGTTTTCTATGTGGGAACATCACAATGAATAAATGCAGAGTGGCCCAAAAAAATAGAATACCCAAATAAGAATAACATACACTTATAAAAATGTTATTTCTTCCTGTTTCAATCATTATATAAAATATGAATCTTTGAAGTCTTATTGTTTACACCTTACTTAAATATGTAACAGTTTTATACAAATTTACATTATTTGATATGTTAAAAATGCCATTACTCTCAATTACATGCTTCCAGATGCTTCTGCTTAAGTGTCCGATTTACACTTGACTGATTATTTCTATCAGATGCTTTACTCATGAAATAATATTCCACTAGAAAACTAATATTCAACATTAAGCTGTGGCATTTTAGGGTATAATTTCCAAAAGGAAAACTTAAAATGATGCTTGCATCAGTCAGTACAGTTCAGTGTTCCTTGGTTACAACACATATTTATGCTGTCATCTTTTATTTTATTGCATTATACAGAATATGGGGTATTATATGGTGAAATTAAAGAGCTTTTGGCCTTGTTTATTTTGTTTGGTGTATTTTTTTGGCTAGTTATGAATGTATGTTATTCTTTTTTTGGGCTAACCTGTAGTACTAATACTCAGTGGTTAGCACAAGTTTTATACTCATGGTATCAGTTATGGGAGATAAAAAAGTGTAAATTAAAACAACCATAGCAGTTACAAAAACATGATCTCCTTCAGCCACAATTTTTTTCACTTTCATGTCTGACACCCATAAAAACTGAGAAGAATTTTTATCCATCTACAGGTAGATTGAACAAGATAAATATAAATATCACAATATTCAAATTCTAGGAACTGGTTAAGTTTTGAGTTTGCATCAACAGACAAGTCACTGGCATGAATAGTCATGCAGGTCATTTTTGGAATAATATATTTATCAAAAAACAACAATTACCCATATATATTTATCTCAACCTATTTTCGTAAACTATTTTGGCTTTGGTTTAAAGATTCATAGCATATACCTTCAACTTTATTGCTACCATCATCAGAAATAATGGACAGCTTGATGTCCAACATGGTGGATGCCAATGTTGCATTTCCTGGAAATCACGTGACCTGGAAAGGTCTATTTTACTGACATATAATGATTTTGGATTAATTAGCAGGTAAAAATCTCATGGCTAACTTACCTCCTCCTTACCTTAAGCATTTTTCAATAATTATATAACTTCCTTTTTCTAGAGAATTGTTTTAATTCCTGTACATACCAAAAAGTTTGTTTCTGTTATTTGTGTTTATGTTCTTCATATAAGCCTAGAAATTGAGCTTCTTATTTGTTGAGACAGTTCAGCTATTCAAATTATTTAATTTTCTTTATTGTGAATTATGTGTAAGTGTAGTTCTAAATTTTTATGGATGATGTATGTGTGCTTTAATTTGATCTTTATATATGTATGTGCAACACTTCAATTAAGGTTTAAGAAATAGGTTTTACTTATCACAATGTATTTTTGAAACAGACTGATAAAAATATCTGACTACATGTTTTTGTAGTTGTGATCTCTTCAAGGAAAGAGCTACATGGTTGGAAAAACAATTGTGCTAATTTAGGCTTTTTTTTTTTACCTGTACAGAGATATAAAACAGTGATTGTAACTATACTGCTTCCTGATGTATTTTGGCATTTTTATGCATTAGGCAGTAATTACTAGTTTACAAAATCACAAGTACAGGTGCATCATTAAAACTTTTTTCCAGTCGTATTTAAAATTGTACTGATGGATATAGAATCTAACCACAAATGTTAAGATAAGACAAACTAATACTATATAATAGAGATGAATGATAAATTACTTATTCTGTTATAAATAATTTGTGAAACTATTTTACAATGTAGCATCTTAATGAATGAATAAATATTCCTTCTTGGCTAATGAATTTTGATACTTTAAGCTTAATTTCCTGTTATCCACTTTGAAGCAGACCAGCAAACAACTTTTGTATATGCCTAGTTGATTACTATGTATATTATGTATATTATTAATGGAGCAAAGATTCTTGTTAAATTTTACAGGTTCTGCAAGATTCTCTAATTAAATCTTGTGCAGTGTCAAAAGCCATGCCCTGAATTATACCAAACACAGATACAAATCTGAACATTTATTTTTAAGATTGCTAAAAGTATCGAATAATGTATGTAAACCAAAACTACAGTAGAATTTGAGGGGGGGGGGGTGTTGTTTAAAATAACCTTGCAGCATTTTACCAGGCTAGAAATTATTATAAAACAATCACTTTTCATAGATATTGCATTTGTTATATTTGAGTTTTATTAGATAATACAGTTCATATTGGCAAATCATTGTTTTTGTAATTAAAATTTAGTCATTGACCTACGTGTGAAAAATAGCAAAAAAAAAAGGAGTCACAGGCTGAGTGTGGCACAGTGGTTAGCATGCTGGACTATAGATCTGTAGGTCCATTGTTCGCATTCTGTGACTACAAGAAAAATAATTATGCTCCACCCTTTGGGGCCATGGGTACTTATAAGGGTGACAGTCAAATTCCTTCATTTGGTTGGATAAAGCAGCCTAAGAGTTGACTGTGGTTGCTGTTAATTAGCTGCCTTCCCTCTAGGCTATCAGTTCAAATTTGAAATGGCTAGCAGATAGCCCTTGAGTAGCTTTATGTGAATATCAGAAACAAACCAAAGAAATCAAGTGTTTTAGTTTGTAATGAAAAGTTTGAAAAATATAATTTTTAAGAACAATAATTTAAAAATTTTTCTTTAATTTCAGACTATGCTCAGCTATTTGCTACACTTATAGCAAGGACAGCTAAAGACATTGATGTTCTAATTGATTCATTACCAAGTGAAGAATCATCTCCAGAGCTTCAGGTAGAGAATTAATCTCATGTTCATTGAGTTGTTCAAATGGACTTTTGGATTAATGTAGTGATGTAATGGAAAAAAGTATTATGTATGCAAACATTTCCACTTTAACGATATAACTTTGTTCAATGATTTTATCATCTGTGAACATTGCATTTCATGGCCTGGTGATTAGGGTGTTCTACTCGCAATCTCTAGGTCACAAGTTCATAAGCAATCACCAAACAGGATACCTCACTTCCACACATGCAATAACTTCGTCTCTCTCTCACATTTGCTTATGAGGTTTGCATGTCACTAATTTTGAGTTAAATGACACCTAAGTGAATTTTAAAGAACGATAAGTCTCCTGGGCCAGATATTATTTCTCTAAGGGTTTTGAAGGAGGTTAAAGATAGTATATGTGAGCCACCTGCTACTATTTTTTGTCAGTCCTTGAATAGTGGGCAGGGACCAGAGAATTGGAAGTTAGCTAATGTAACTCCTATTTTCAAGGGAGTTGGTAAAAACTGTCCTAGTAATTATAGATCCATTAGTCTTACATCAGTTATGGGAAAAGTTTTGGAAAGTCTGACAAAAAATGCTTTGCAGAATCATTCAACTCTCTCAGCATGGGTTTGGTCGAAGGGACAGGCCTCATAACCATTTATTAAGTTTTAAGATTTATTAAGTAATGTTTTTCTCCTGCCTTTTGTCTTTTCAAGTGTTGACTGTCCATCATGTAATGAACATAAAAGTATTTTTAAGATTAAAAATACTTTTATGCATCAGAAAATTTATCATATCCATACCAAAGAATTCCACTATAATTTATCAAGCTTAGTAAGTATACTAAGTATATGGGATATACTTACTTCCCTAAATCTACATCGTGTCAGGGGTAGTGAAAAATGTTAAACCCATCTGCCTTGACAACTAAAGTGTGCCCACTGTTGAGTTAGAGGTTTCATCGTCCATTCCAGACAGCACTTTCCATGGACTATTTTGGAAAAAGCTAGCAACTGGTGAATGTCTGCCCACTTCCTTGGCTTGCATATGCTGACTTTTCAAATTAGGCTTCATGGTAACCAATTGCACTCTCTCCAGTAAAAGACCCTTGCAATTGTTAGGTTTGATCAGGTCTTGACAACTCTCCATTGTCTCCCCAATGCAAATTCCTTTGTCAGTTCCTAACTGATGGAGTTGTCAACTTGGAGAGTTCCTTACTGATTGTGCAATCCCTTTGAAGATAGTCCGAATGGACAATACATTGCAATGGGAAGTTGGGCAGAGGTTTCCATGTTAGTGTAGTGCAGGTCACCCTTTATTATATGATATGCCAATTTCCCAGGGGTTTGGCCAGCCAGATGGGGGCAAAGTGTTCTCTTTATGCAACAGGAAGAGACTATGTAAGGGAAGTAACTTATACAACAGAACACATATCAAACCATACAGTTTGATTATTGCCCTAGTCACACTACATCTCGTGTCCAACTGACCTGTTCTGTGCAATTACTTGTTTGGTCATGTCTTTCTCCACCCATCCTTGTGACACATTGGTTCATTTTGACTTCCTGTTTTCATACTTCCACCCGAACAAAGAGTATACCCTGCATGAGACTGATTCAGTCTTCCAAGAGTGTCCCCTTGATGTTGATTCCTGTACGTTGTGAGGGGATCTCTCAGTGAAGGTTCTGTATTTTCAGTTACTTCCTCTGGGATTTAAACATCCACCCATGTGTTTGCCATGTGTGGCGAACCGTGAAGGTGGAGAAGAGGATCCTGGTGGTTGAGTGGTGTCTGGGGCTCTGGCCTTGAATTCCCGTAGACGGGTGGCCCCCCCCCAGGGTCAGTCGGCTGGTCCACTCGGGCTAGGGTCAACTGAGTACCAGTGTTGGGCATTCGTGTGTGATGCTAATGTTTGGGTATAGTACTCATGTAACACTGGCGTTGCTGCTGTGTCCTTGTTTGACATTGTAGTGCATCCACTTGTAGGACTCTATGGCGGGTGGGGTCAGTGGGGCACTTAATTATGGATCCCCCCAATCCAAATAAAAAAATGTTAAAACTCTGCTAATCGGTAAACGACCATGCTTAGAAGACTCTAATCAGCGGTCTTCATCACAAAGTACACCTGTACCTCACTTCCTGATCCTGCATTCACTGTCCGATAAATCTTTAGGGCAAATGTCTCCCTTTTTTATTCAGAAAAGCTTAGAGAGGCTTGCTG